ACCATCTAATTGTAATAATTTTACTACTTAAAATAAATTAATGTTATTTGGAAAAAAGCCATAAAAACTGTTTTAGCTTGCTGAAATAAATTTAAACATTAAACATAAAAAAAAAATACACATCATGTTTTACACACCATATATTTATGCATTCAAAAATAAATATGCACCTGGTGCATTAAATGTCGCAAGTTTTACTTATGTACAGATATTTATTCTTAGAAAGCGAGAAACCAATATTCATTCAATTTCTTTTCGGCTTAGTCCCTTTATTAATCAGGAATCGCCACAGGGGTATGAACCACCAACTTATCCAGCATATGTTTTACACAGCAAATGCCCTTCCAGCCGCAACCCAACACTGAGAAACACCCATACACTCTTGCAGTCACATAAATACATTATGGCCCATTTAGCTTATTAAATTCCCCTATACCGCATGTCTTTGGACTTATGGGGGAAACCGGAGCCCCCGGAGGAAACCCACACGAACACGTGAAGAACATGCAAACTCCACACAGAAACACCAACTGACCCAGCTGGGGCTCGAACCAGCGACCTTCTTTCTGTGAGGCGATTGTGCAATTTAGTATGAATTCAGTTCAATACCACCAAGACATTAACTCACAGAAATGAGGTTTACAGTAGACTTCCTGCATAACCCCCTGCTGCACAGCTTATCCTCCTTATACACACTCAAACAGACTAGATCTAACGCAGAAAGCCAGTATGCGACGATAGCTTTGCTTGTCCTTCAACTAGGAAATGCTTCAAACAATGTAATGTTGTGATAGCTAAATAATACATCTAATTACCACAGCATTTTCCCATGGCTCTTGTCCTGAGACAGCCAGCAGGGCCAGGACGCGATTTGATGTAATCTGAGAGACGCCACTTCCCTCCATCTGCAGTAACCAAAATCTCCGAAAGAGGGAGCCACAGAGGGATCCTGCCGACAAGAGAGCTATTTTTAGACCTTTGAACAGAGAAATGTATTTATAGAGCTTTGAGTTCTGTCGCATAGAGAGAGGAAGCGCTAGCTGTAGGGGTTCAGTGCATCAAAGCCGCGCTGACAAGCAGCTTTTAACGGAAACAGGAGCGATTGACAGGCGGCGCTCTTTCGGACGGAGAACCGCAGCATCTCTGCTCTGCCTGCAGCATGACAAAACACAGCCATCATCATCAGCCCCGCCGTGACATTTGCACACTCTCGGAGGAATAGATGCACTTGGGCTAAAAGCAGCCTCGAATCCAATGCATATCTCCGAAATAAACCTCCGCATGCAGGCAGCAGACAGAAATACTCCCTCAAACACGTCAGGGGTTTAATCTGCTGCTGCGTAAATAGAGCATTCAGAGGTCAATCAGAGAACTTCAGCCAAAGCTGCTTGCTGCTTTCCATGAATAACAACAGTATCTCATTTACACTTCTATAAACATGAAGATGGATTAAAAGGTACGACGGTTCAATTTAATAAGAGATTGGACATTTAAATTAAATAAATATCTCTTCAAAGTGATACGTGCATGCTATATTTGGTTGGCTGTACACAAGCCGGAGGGGAAATGCCTCCCAATGGATCCCTGTTAAGGCAGTTATGAGGATCAAATGAATAATATATGATTCTGTTTGGAGGATTAAATCCAACACTGTAAGGTAACGTCTTTCACAGAGGGTGTGTTGTTGCCTCTTGTGGACAGCAGACGCAACTGCACGCACGTGTGTTTTTGACAGACACTGCAGTAAGTCATCTGCACTAGCTCTGTCTGGAATATTTCAATGTGGGTCGAGTCCTTCATCGCAGAGGTTACGAGGTCACCAACTGCAGAACAGTGGAGTTGGCAAAACTGAATGTGCACGTGAGCAATAACAATAGCTTAAAGTTCAATGTGATTACAGTGTCTTCAATATCCACCATATGCAGCAGCTCTGAAAGAGTATTTGGACACTTAAAACACTTTTTAAAGTGTGTGGATGACAAATTAAAATGCATGAATGCCATTACATAGCTGATTATTTATATATTAGATACAAACAAGCTGTGTATTTTTATTAGGCGTGAACTGCTAATGGTGGACAACTAGAAAGTACCACAATTATTTTTAGTCATCATCAAATATAGATTCTCTTTTATTCCAGTAAGTAATTTGATATAAAAATAACATGTCATATCATTTAAAGAAGCCATATGTAAGAAAGTATGCATTCATTTATTTTATTGCAAAATTTGAACAGGTTAATGAATCATTATAAAAGGTATTGTCTATAAAATCCTCTGGAGTGTTTATTTATATAAAGTGCTGGAGAATAGTTTGCAAATTATTTTTTCTATTTGAATAAAATAACATTTCTGGGTGCATATAGAGCACAGGTCTCAAACTTGAGTCCTGGACAGGCCGCGGCTCTGCACAGTTTTGCTCCAACCCTAATTAAACACAGTTAATCCAACTAATCAAGGTGTTCAAGACTGTTAGAGACTAAGCAGGTGTGAGTTGGAGGTGGTTGGAGCTAAACTATGCAGAGTTGTGGCCCTCGACGAATTGAGTTTGAGACCATTGATATAGAGGCTCAAATTGCATTTTATCTCTTGTACAGCTGGCTGTAGATCACTTTAAGGCCATCGGTGTCACTAAAAACAAAGCTTTAGTGGCCAACTGGATATAGTAAAGCAGTGTTTCTCAACCACGTTCACCAGCTCTGCACATTTTCTATAGATGTGTCCTAAATCACATACTTATGCACTATTCTATGCCATTTTATAGTATACATAGCGTAAGTAGTGCATTCACACTGAAAACTATGAAAAGAGTTTAATTGCAGTGTAGTTACCCGGATAATGCACTTTTTCAACCATTTTTCAACCTTTGCTAATGTAGAGGAAACGGCAGAGCTTTCGGGTACTGATGTTGGATTACTTTATTTATTGTGGATTGTGAACGCAGTATTCTCCTACGAGAGTGATTATACCACCTTCCGATGGTGAATGCGGTTATACTCATGGCAGGTATTATTTGGCAGTTGGGTCATTTATTTCGCTAATTTGACAACAGTCATAATCATCTGGGAAACGATTTGAATTTCCGCTTAGTAAAAAAACTCATTAATGTTCCATTTGGGATAACATTACATATATTTATACTATGCTGTTAAGTGTTAAAGTGCCCAAGTAAATAGTGTGTTATTTGGGACGCAGCACTTGTCTCTTTAAACAAACACACCGGATTCAGATCACCAGCTCATTAGCAGAGACTGAAAGATCTATAAAGGGTGTGCCAGACAAAGGGAACATCCAAAACATGCAGCGTTGGTGGTCCTGCATAAACGTGGTTGAGAAACACTATAGTGAAGCAGTTTAAAAAAATAAAATAAAATCGAAATTAATTGTTTCAGTAATCATTGGCAAAATAAAAGTCTGACACCTACCAACCAAACAGAAAAAAAATGTATAGTTTAAAATGGCAGCAAATCAAAAATTTTGAAAAAAATGTCAATATACCTTTAACTACCCCACCAAGAATTATTTTTTGACTCCTAATGTTGCTAGTTAACACACTTAATGCATTACTTTCAACACATTACATCATTTCTAAAATATCAACCTCCACCAAATGGTTGATATGTCAGTTTATGGTAAAAGTACCGGCATTAATACATATAATTTGAAAAATCAAAAAATATGGAGTGTAGGGCCAATTTATTTAAAAAAAATAATAAAAATAAAACAGTTCTGAATACTAAATCATCTTAATTGTTTACAATAAAACCAAAATAAAGTGTAGTAGTGCAACAGGAGTATATTTGTTTTTTGTAAACCAACAATGCTATGTGTGTAAACCATTATTTACAACAGTCATTCTGTAAATGACTTTAACAGTCATTAATTAAAACAGTAAAAACATGGTCAACCATTTGGTAGAGAGGACAGTCAAAGGGATATTGGCAAGCATATTTTGGCCTTAATTTAAATTAGTACACACATACATATATATATATACACATAGCATTCGGTCTCATTAGCACACTGAAGCTGGAATTATACTTGTGCCTGGCGCCATCTAAATGAACTGCCATTCCTCATCAGCATCTTTAGACATCTAAAGTCATCTTAATGTGAGCGCTTTAATGGTCAAATTGGTGTCAAAACGCAGTGTTTAGTGATTATTCATAATAACCCTCATTTGTGTAATAAACAAACGAGTTGAGGATCAAACGACACGTGAAAGAGAAACCATTAAAGAGACAGCGTACAATGTTGTTTTTTCATTAATCAAACAAAACGAGAAAATCACTCTGCTCTTGACTGAAGGATTTTTGTAGCTAAAGTTTTATTCTTACAGTGAAGATGCTTAAAGCACAGTTTGTTTCAAATTTTTATTCTATTGTATTTATTTCTCTTTCCTTTGCAGGGAGGAAAATAACTGTATGTATATATTGAAGTCAGAATTATTAGCCCTCCTGAATATTAGCAGCCCTTTTCCTGCCCAATTTCTGTTTAATGGAAAAAAGTTTTTTTTTTAAACTTATTTCTGAACATAGTAGTTTTGATATATTATTTCTGATTACTGATTGCTTTTATTTTTGCTATGATGACAGCACATAATATTTTTTTAGATATTTTTCTAAACACAAGCATTCAGATTAAAGTGCAATTCAAAGGCTTAATAAGGGTAATTAAGCAGTTCATTGTATAACAGTAGTTTCTTATGCAGACAATCAAAAAATATATTGCTTAAGGGGGCTAATAATATTGACCTTAATATTGGGTTTCAAAATATTTAAACCTGCTTTTATTCTAGCTAAAATAAAACAAATAAGCCTAGAAGAAAAAATATTATAGGAAATACTGTTAAAATTCCTTACTCTGTTAAACATAATTTGGGAAATATTTATAAAAAAAAAAAAAAAAATTCTCAGGAGCGCTAATAAATTTGACTTCAACAGTAATCGTTTTAAATAATCGTGATTACAATTATGACCAAAATAATCGTGATTGATTTTTCCCAAAATCGAGCAGCCCTAATATATATGTATATATATATATTGTTTAATAATATTAAAAAAATGCTTAAGAAGGGTGTGTGTGCCATGTTGTTATGCATATATATATACTTGATGTATGGATCAATGACATGCATTAAATTTGTGTGTCCTAAGTGTCCAAATACGTTTTTACATCCACATTTAAATATCTAAAAACAGTTCATCAAGCATTATAACGCTTTAAAAAATCATGTATGCAAATTTGCGCATTAGTCATCTCAAGTGGGTTGGAAATCAGTGCAAAAGAGCTCTGACTCACAAAACAAAATCCATTCTCAAAAGTAAGCTGCAAATATTCTCCATTTCTCCGAGCAGTACCAGACAAGCGGTGCCAGGGCTGCTCAAAGCGTTGATCCAATAGACAGTGGAGGTGTGTTAATTGCAGGAAACAGCACACTCCACCACCACCCATGTGCCATAACAGTGTGTCTGCCCGCCCCTGCAGCTCTTCTCCAATTGGATAAAACAATCTCCACCAGCAACAGCCTCAGGGTGAAGCAAAGATCAAGTATATGGATGACCACTCCACAGCAGGGCTCCAAGCACCACTCCAATACATACACCAGTCAAATGACGCATCAAACAGCAGCCATCCGCCCCCTCGCGCATCAACAGCTCTTCAGGGAAAGTGCTTCTCATGGTCTGTGTGTGTTTGGAATAGCACTCATATCAGCAGCAGATGATGGCTATTCCCCATGTCTAGCGGTAAGGGAAGGTGGGTGAGGCGATTACAGAAGGTAGGAGGGTGAGGTAGTTGGAGGGGACGTAGCCTCTCTGGCCACGTGCCTCCACCAGACTCCATTCTTTGTTCCCACGTTTATCGTGAGGCTCCACCACTCGCACCGGCTCACCTGCTCTAAGAGAAAGCTCATGAGCGCTCCTTGCTGTGAAGTCATAGCCAGCGTACACCTGTTGATGGAGAATGGAGAGTTTCAGCCTGATTGGTAGTATGAAGAGTTTTCTTCTAATAGATTAGGTAGACTCGAGGACTATCATTAACGAACATAAACAGACAGTTTTGGCTAAATTAAGTTAATATATAACAATTGTAAGCCTATATCACTCTTAGAAAAATTAATCACAACATAAACTTACTTCAAAAAGTTACAAAGTTAGTTTAGTAACTTTAAAAAAAGTCACTTTAGATTGTAGTAATTACTTTTTCCCTCCAACACTGATAACAAACGACTTGAAACATGTAAAGAGAATGTTCTACGAAGTTAAGTGGAATTCAGTGCCATACAATGTGCACTTTTTGACCTCTGAGGGTTGGATTTTTGTTTTTATCATAAAGGAATAAAATATAATTTGTACTAGATGTTTGTGACCAAAAAAAAGGCAAGAAAAACCCAAAGCTCTGAACAATTAGTTAAAGTGCTCCCCCTTGTGGCCAATCATGGTAACGTCACATGATGGAGGTGCTTGTGCTGTTTGCTAATAATTGCTTTAATAATAATACATTTTATGAATAATGCACTTTTCTCATACTTAAAGCACTTATAAAACAGTAAAAACCATCAAAGCCTAATGAAGACAAAGTGAAAAAAAAAGATGTCACAAATTAAAAACAGTCCTAAAAAGGTAAGTTTTAAGTAGCTTCTTAAAACCAGTATAAGGAACCAGTATTCCTTATATTTGTAGGAAGAGCATTGCATAGTTTGGGTGCTCAGTAAGAATGCCCTACCTCCTATGGTGCTGAGTTCACAACAAGGCTGAACCAGTGTAAGACCCGAAGCAGAACGTAAACAGCGAGAAGCAGAAGAAATGGACATCAAAATACAAATGTAATTGCGAGCAGAATCATGAACTGCTTTATATGTTAAAATCAATGTGTTTAATTGTTTTAAACAAACCAATAGTCCAAAATAGAAGTGGCAACAGATATTGCGTTCACTATTGTGATCCGCTTCTAAAAAGCAACTAATTATACAAAAAAAAATTGAGAACTAATTTGAACAGAAGAATAATTACATTAAGATAAACTTCATCTATAAAAGCGGAATTGTTATTTCACTGACTTCAGCACAATATTTTAGTTAACAAAAACCAAAACATTTTCATACAGAAATATAACTTTTAAACGAACATAAGTGAAAAACTGAAAGAGTATACATTTTAAACTAATCTAAATAATTATAGAAATACACCAGTATTTAACCAGGCCCGTAGCCAGCTTGGTGACCTTTTTGCAGTTATTTGCCTCATTTTCTTTTTAATAATAAGGTGTAAATACTCCATTTAGTGACATCTCAAGCACTATTTTGTTCTGGATTAACTTGGCGGATGGTCATCATAACCACACGTTTTGATGAGCCAAAAACATTTGCTAAATATTTAGAACAGGGGTGTCCAAACTCAGCCCTGTAGGGCTGGTGTCCTGCATATTTTAGTTCCAACCCCAATAAAACAAACCTGAACCAGCTAATAAAGCTCTTTCTAGGTATACTAGAAATTTCCATAGATATGTGCTGAAGGAATTTGGAGCTAAACTATATAGGACACCGGCCCTTCAGGGCCGAGTTTGGACACCCCTGATTTAACGGAAGAAAAATCAACAATACTTATTTTTAAATACAAATGTATCACATTATATATCATTAGAAACTAAATATGAATTCATCAGAAAGATAACAAACTGGCCAGCACATTCTTGACTTTCCTTAGTCAAAATTTGGGATGTCAATGAATTTAGCGCACTGAAGCAACAGCCGACACAGGATTCAACTTGGTCTTTATTGATGGATTATTTTCGTGGTGTTTCTTACAATTTATTATGGTGTAGCAGTTCAAATACTTCTTTAGAACGACCTGAACCCCTGGCTACGACCCTGTTAACTATTATTGTTATTATAATACTAGTGGTGTTAATTATACTATTAGAATTAGTATTATTTCTTACTATTTGTATTACTGCTGCTGCTCTGTTACTCCTATAGTTTTAAATCTAATAGCATTGTTATTATTGTACATAACATTACTACTAGCATACATGCAGATTACATATATGTCCATTAATTCGAAAAGTAAAGCAAATACAAGTTTTGTAAGCTTGTTTGTTTGAATTACACTAATCATTACATTAATATAGCATGATAAGAAATACCAATTTGCAATATCAAGCAGTACAAGCTGTTTTGTACAGATTAAAATGTATAAGAGGTATTAATATTAGGATAGCTGCACACGCTCATACTTGGAATAAAAAGAAATACTAAAGAACATGACTTTAATAAATGTCTTATAATGAAAAATAATCTCTTTAAAAAGATCTGATTTCTACTAAAAAAATATTCTTTTGACTTGATCCATAAAGAAACCACTTGTCAGCATGCTAATGCCCATTCAGAACACCTTAGCAACTGCATAGCAACACTGTAACCATGAGATCTGCATGTTCAAATGCCACTTACATTCCCTTAAAAAATTATCTAAAAAACAATGCTATGTAGATGCTAAATTAAATAAATCTCACTTCAGGCAACAGAAACTAGATATATAATTAATCTGGAAATGGAAATGTTAGCCAGTGCCTGCACCAGCACAATGACAAACTACCCATGAAGGTTGTTTAGCAAAATTAGTCACATTTTTACAGTCACACCAGCTGTGCATCTCCAACACCCAGTCAAAATCTGCCTCCGACATTTCCGCTTTCCCCAAACATGAAGCCACACTGATATGGAAGCATCTGACAGCGGGATCATGCAGATGAATGAATCAGTGTGTATGTGTGGGTGCCACATGCGGGTGTGTGTGTGTGTGTAGGTGGCTGTGATAGAGTATGTCACTTCTGCTGACGAGGAATGGCAGTTCATTTCTGTTCCTCCAATACTGAATTCACAAATGCTGAAGTATGTGTGATTGATGATCATGAGATACTGCAGACCTGCCATCAATCTCTAGAGGTCTCGTTCTGTTTGACACACGAATTAGACCGAGTAACTAGGCATCCGTATAAACCGTCAGTCAAAGTGCATGTCTGTGCCTACAGTGCCCTCCATTAGTATTGGCACCCTTATGAGCATAGAAAGCTGTGAAAAAAAAATCTTTAGCCTGACATTAGTGAAAATGTTTAAAGGTGGGGCGGTGCGGCATGATGGCGCAGTGGGTAGCGATGTCGCCTCACAGCAGGAAGGTCGCTGATTCGAGCCTCGGCTGGCTCAGTTGGCATTTCTGTGCGGAGATAGCATGTTCTCCCATGGGTTCCCTCTGGGTGCTATGGTTTCCCCCACAAAGACATGTGCTATAGGTAAATTGGGTAAGCTAAATTGTCTGTAGTGTATGTGTGTGAATAAGTGTGTATGGGTGTTTCCCAGTGATGAGTTGCAGCTGGAAGGGAATCTGCTATGTAAAACATATGATGGATAAGTTGGAGGTTCATTCCGTGTGGCGCCTCCTGATTAATTTAGGGACTAAGCCAAAAAGAAAATGAATGAATGAATGTTTAAAGGTGCCCTATAAAGAAAATATGGGTATACCTAGGCATAGTTAAAGATGAAGTGGTTAATACATGGAAACAGCCATTCGTGAGTCTCAGACACCATTGTTTCCTCATTCTTATGTAAATTATGTGTGTAATACCGCAGTGAAAAGAAAATGATTTTACATGTGTTTATTTGAGAGTACATCATGTTGTGTTTGTATAAGAGAGTTTAAGTGAGTCAGAGGTGAGCTATTGAGCCGAGCTGAGAATTAATATTCACGCCCTTTCCAAATATGGTCAATAAGGGCCTTCTGATTCTAGGTCTATTTTATTTGGTAATAAATGGCATATAAAATAATTTCTGGAGAATGGATTAACTTATCTAAGACACATACCTACTATGTGATATCAGAGAACAATTTAACAACCGAATCAATGTAGTATATGGCACCTCTGATATTTTGGTTACATTTTCAGTAGAGGCTTTTTTTTCCTGAAACCCTTTCAAACTGTCTGTGTTGATGTGTGACATTTTTTGTAGAATTTCTGTACAATTCCCCAGTTGTAATTCTTGAACATTTTTGGCACTCAACCTATCCTCCTAACAGCACGTTTGTACAAGATAAACCCATCTTCCCTTCCAGGTGGATTCAGAACACTTACAGTTGACTTGAATTTCTTAATAACTGGCCTGGCTGTTTTATGTTTTTTTTGTCAGATTTTTTGAAGCTCAGCAACCTCGTCATAAATAACATATGTGTGTTTTTTTATCTTACATATTGTGATAAATGACTAAGTAAGTTTGTGAAGTATTAATGGGGAAATACTTCACAAATAGTTTTGCTCAAATCAATTCACAGTGATTCCAGTAATTGTGCCTAATCCACTAATATTGTCTGCAATGCATTGCATGTTGGCCATGAATTCAATTAGAACTACAAATGTGGGTAAAAAGTGTAAACAAAACACAAATTAATTAAAATTAATAAGGAAGTAGTTTGTCCCAATGCTTGCAAGCTCTTCTGTTACACACTCATAAGTATACTTTTAAGGCGTAGTATAAGTATGCGAATAGGACACTCAACTTTTCACATGCACGCCTTCTCTGTCTACTTATGCCTAATTCAAAAGTGTTCAAGAGTTTAGAAGGCATAACTGACGTAAATTTAGTAAAATATTGGGTCCCACTTTATATTAAGTGGCCTTAACTACTATGTACTTACATCAAAAAATAAATACAATGTACTTACTGTGTTTATAATGTATTTGAGAACAATTGTGGTGCTTTTGAGTTGGGATAGAGGTTGGGTTATGGACAGGTTTGGTGGTATGGGTAGGTTTAAGGGTAGGTTAAGGTGTAAGGGATGGTCAACAGTGTATTTACAAATGTAATTACAAAAGTTAATTACAGATGTTGTTACATACTTGTACTTAATCAAGCATAAATACACAGTAAATACGTGTATTTACACAATAAGTACATTGTAACAAACTATTAAATTCTATGTAAGTACATATTAGTTAAGGCCACTTAATATAAAGTGGGACCAAATATTGTGCTAAAAAGAGCAAAATTTAACTTGTCTATAACCAATAACCACAGAGTAAGTGGGATGACAATGAAATAAAATGGCTTGTTGTGTGTGAAAGTGTATTAAATGCCTGACACATAGTCAAAGAACCACCCAAAGATCATCTCCCTATGACTACGTATCTCTATCTATACATTTAAATTGTGTGTTCTCAATGAGAGCATTTGGTTATTACTTTTTTTTTACCACAGTCTTCTTTGCTTAAGTTTACCAACAGAGGGCGCTAAATCTGTGCTCCTCACCTGAAAACATGGTGTGGTGATAGTGGTCAGGTGTGGCTGGGCTCCAGGTGTGTAGGAGTGTCTTCTGGGTCCTGGACCAGTAGGTGTAACGTTCAGATGAGGAGACTGTGGTGGGTCAATTGTCAGCTGGTGGTAACGTGCCAGTTTTGAGGCAGGCACGTATCCCCTTGGGCCTGAAGTAGATAAAAAGTAGAAATCATATTAAAATATTCAGATCTCCAAACTTCTGGTAAAAAGTTTGAATATTTTTAACTGTACTTGACCAGCAGATGTCACTCATCTTATTATCAAAGGCCATCAATAGTAATTATTAATGCCAAAATTGTTCACAATTTGTTGTATTTTATATCATCATATTTAATCAACCACTATAAGGTTCAAACAGTGATCAAATCTAATTGTATCATTTCAAAGTTATTATAACTTACTGGAAACAAATCAATAAAATCTGGTAGGGTTTAAAAGATGAGTAAAATAATATAGAAACATTAAAATAACAATTCCCTATAATTTGGGACTGTGTTGTGATCCTTAAATAGTATTTTTATAAAAGTCTACAAATGATTTTTGTTTTAAATATGCCTGACAAGACGTTGATAACTACTGTTACATTCAATAATATTGTAGTCTGTTCCTTCTCTAAATCTACCCAAAAGGCCATAATTGTTTTACTCAGAATAAATTTGCTTTCATTTTGAAGTGTATACATGGATTAATATACAGTGTTGTGCAAGTTACTTCCAAACTGTAATACATTACTTATTACTGTTATTTAAATGTAATCCCTTACCTTACAATATTACTGTCTCAGAATTGTAATATGTTAAATTACTCTTATATTACTTTTTAGTTACTTTCACCAAAATAACTAAAGAATTAGAACTTAACATTATAAAATTCTATAATGTTCTATAATGAGCATTTTACATCCAGTAAAAAGTGATTTGATGTAGCAGAATGAGTGTAACCTCTCCAGGCTACTAACAATATAGTATATAATTGGCACTGTGAAGGCTCAAGACAATGCAAGAAAGGATGACAGCCAGAATTACAAAAGATCTGTTAAAAGTATGGTAGAGGTAAAGTGATTATCTGGCAATATCTGTGAATGGCTTGACTATATTCATAGTAGACACAACAGGCCGATATGTAAACTCCAATGCCATGACAAAATGCAGATTTTGTTTCTTTTCTTATTGTTGCCATTATTGTATTTACTTTACATTCAAGTGGTTTACAACACAAAACCGTTCCTGCACAAAGTGAGCATGATGAACAGCTTTCTCAGTATGTTTGTGCATCGATTTCCTGTTTGTGGACAAAACTGCTTGCGAGCTCTTAAATATGCACTGCTCACGCACAAGTTTTCTTGCTCTCAGTACACTGCTCTCTCAGTGAGATTATATGCAAACTCCCAATTTGTATCTTGTGTTCCCTCTTCCTTTCAAGCTTGTTGATATGAATTATATTAGTACACTATTTATTAACAATAACCAAAATACTAAAATAGACTTTTTTTTAGAATAGAATTTTGAATATAATAAACCATATTATTGTTGGCTGTATGTTATATGATGAGATATTTCAAATAAAAAGCATTTAGACAAAAATAAAAACTAACGCAAGCAGAAATGCAACTAATAGAAACACTTGATATGGTATTATCCTACTGTACTATTCACTCTTCAAATAAATGTCATTATCAATCACAATTTTTTATGGCAACTAAAATAAAGTGAACTAGCGTCTGTTGTGTTCCACATTGTTGATGAGATTGTGGAGGACATATTCCCTGCCATCATCTTCATTTTGAGAAGAAGCTGTTCCACAGGGCCCCTTAACACACATATTGTCATTAAGTGCTTTAATTACTCTGTTGTGGTAATACTATAGTTGCTATGGTAACACAACAAGTGTAATATAAACAAATGATCCAGTGCTGTAGTTTTTTTACAATATGGGGTAGATTGTACTACAATTCACCACACTTTACTGTAGTAAAACTACACTTTATATTTAATTTTATGAGTTCAATATTCATAATACGACAGTATGCTTAAGCATTCATTGTAAATACTATAGCCTAAAACATAGGCAGTATACCTTATACTCAAAAACACTAGTATTTATTATAGAATTTATCTTAACCTGTAAGTAAATAGTGTAGCAATATATGAACCGTATAAAAATTCTTGGGATAACAATTAAATAGGAGGATCTCTGGAGAGCAACAGAACAAAATTAAGAGGAAACACAAGGCACAGATTGTGAGTCTGCATCATCTGTCGGAGCGAGAGCAGGTCGTTAGCACGTGAGCAGCCCAGCCAGTGTTGAGTTAACGCGAGGAGTTTTGTCCACAGAGGAAACCGGCACGTTCACTCGCTCGTATTACATGAATGAGCTTACGACATTTGTTAGAGAAATAACGCCATATGCACTTACGTCCGTCTCGCGAATGCACTGTCTTATGCCATTTTCATCTATTTTCCGCTGTGCGTACTGCGAACCGGGCTGAGCCAATAGCCCCGGACCTTGAGCTCAGAAGCTGAAATCATTCCGCGTTCAAAGTAAAAAGGTCCCATAGCCAGAGGGAGATTAATTACAGCACGCGCATATATTCTCTAGCCACGAACAGGAAATAGAACTGCGGTATTTTTTATTTGTTAACGTCTTGCGGGCGAAAAGTGTGTTGTAACGCATTACTGTAATACATTACTTTTGTAACGCATTACTTCCAACACTGTTAATATATAACCTAAAGAAGAAAAAAAATACAGATGCATTTGAAAAGCTTGTCAATAGTTTGCTTAACTTCAGAAAGCTGGTGAAAATTAGCCCACCAAGTTGTCCACCAGATTTCTCCACCATTCTGGTCTTCGAGTACAAAAAAACCCCAAAACAATTCACTATAGTAATTACCAAGCAATGCAAAAGATATGTAATGTTTTACAACTGTAGATTTCTAGGAGTACTTTATCAAAACAGCTGCACTATTGTAGCACACCTCCATTATTGCCATTAAACTTCCCTTTTTCTCCATTTTGCATTAAAACAAGTGATATTAATAGTCATATGTGCTTTAATAAACATAAAAGCAAGTGTATATGACTTTACATTCATAAGGATCTATGCAATAAGAATCAGAATTGCAAGTTTTGTCTTGCCTTTAGGCCCATATGCACACCTTATATGAGAAGATGCTATTAATCAATTTTTATCCAAAAACACACTTTGAAGGCTGAAATCAGTTTATATTGTCAGCTTTATTAACTACATGAGGATTTATTTCTCAAATTTGCATGTGGCAGTACCTCCTGCATCAACCAGCCAGCGGCGGCGGTCTCCTCGCGTGTCCATCTCACAGACGACAGCTACCAGCTCTCCCTTGTTGAGGGTCAGGTCCAGGTCACGAGTGCCCACCACAGGGCCTGTCAGCTGGTAGATCTTCTCTGAGCCATGGTTTGCATTCAGATACATGAGACGTTTCTTGCTGACAGTATTGAGTGCCTGTGATGTCATGGATAGAAAACAGAAAACTCAAATTTAGTATCTACTTAAATTTAATATGACATTACATTGAGTATTATTAAAGATAATTTAAGGCCAGCTTTACTAACAGCTTGCACCAGTACAAAAGCCTCCCTTGGTATTACAGTCTGCAGAATTACCTAAAGACCTGTAGTAAAATATTAACGATAATATTTGGACTAGGATTGCATGATATTGAAAAAATTGCAATATTTTGTTTTGCTGCGATACATATTGTGATATAAATATAATTTTACCAGATTATTTGAATAGCTCTATTTGAGACGCTTTTATTCACTTAGATAGAATGGGATGATCAAGACTATGCACAGTGTCTGCATAAATTAAAGTAAATTACAAGCAAAACTAAATAAATAAACAGTGCTTTATAGTTTTCTGGGGAGTCTAACAGTATTCAAGTGTAGAAATTGAACAATCAAATGTAAAATAACATAGTCTTCATTGTATAAATGATTAAAAATATAAAAAGTAATAATATTATTATATTTTAATCTATAATAAATAATCTAATCCTGTTATGTGACAATTGCAAATAAAAATATTGCGGAATCAGTGCTCAAACAATATAATGTTCAGCCCTGGTTTGGACATCTAACCATGTTGCATATGCATATTTAGGATTTTCCCATTCCAATGCAAACATTTTTGTGAAAATAAAAATTAACCATAACATTTCATTTGATACTTTTTTTTTTTACTGTTCAGTAACTATAGTTCGTAGTAATTAAATCTAAATTAGCTCAATTGAAATATAGTAAATAGTCCTAGGATTTCCATCATTGATTAACATTCTAATTCCTGTGAACAAACACACAGAACAGCTGAAGATTACGGAGCACCTCTCTGTTTGATCTTTCCGCCGTCTCTTTTAACTCATCAGGACTGATGTCTTTATGATGGCAGACATGATATCGATTAGAGCCTGTCACTGAGACTCTGGGTAATGACATCTGTTAGCTGATGGCTTAATGCTTATGGCATAACATCACAGACAGACAAATGATACTAATCTACAATATGAATATGGCTCTGAGATTTAGAACATGTCAAAGGTGTTAAAGCTGATGAGTTTTAACAAGTTGGCAAAGAAACTTTTAGGATGGCTTGAGAAAGCCTTGGCTGAATCTTTGAAACAGCTTTGTAACCTATAACCATTTAGCATATCAATTATTTTTAGCACAGTTATTGTCATTTGCATAAATAAACAGATTTAATTATTGAATTAAATTAATTTAGCAGGAATCATTCTAATGTTTAATATTATGCCAGCTGTATGCACAATTAAGCAGATTAAGTGCTCAAGAAGAAAAAATAAATATTGAACTCTATTGGACTGGAGAGACTAAGGGCATATTTACACTATGTATAGTTGCCTTGAACCGGGCCGAAGCACGCTTGTCACCTCTCCCATCTCCCCCGACATCCAACACTCACATTACATTCGGGCCTGGGCACGCTTACGTCATCGATGCTGCGCTATTCAGTAAGCGCTCTCGCTCAGCACAGTGGAGATTTCTTCAGTTATATCGTTTAAGTCGTTTGATATGCGGTGACACGCAGTCAAATATTTCGCCGAACAGATCAGCCAATTTTAAGCTCATAAACAACCATGAACTCCTCGTGCTGCAGAAATTATGAGGTTTGCTAAAAGGTTAGCTGTCGTGCAGTGAGGGGTATGCATCTTTAAGAAACTAGACAGTTTGTGTTCATTGAACAGTAAAGAATGATTAATAAATCCATATGAAACAGTCCCTTAAAAGTCACGTCTCGCAATACAAGCGTACCACGACTGAGTCCAAATAAACCGGGCTGGCATCTTCCAACTGGGCCAGGGCCAGCCAAGTGCCCGATTAAGAGCACTCACACTTCTCAAACGATCCAGGAAACAGGCCTGGGCACGATTCGGATAGCATAGTTTGAGTACGCCCTAACTTAAATCATCAAAGGCAAGCAGAAGAACTTTGAATATCTTTGGGATCCATATATGAATATTATGTAAATTGTTTGTTTGTAAACATACTTTTTTATTTTTATTTTCATCTATTTTTTAATGTTTCAATTCATTAATTTTATTTATTTATATTTACTTATTTTTATTCATTTGTTTATTTGTTTTTTTATGTCATTTGAATGTGTATATATGTATATACATATATAAGAAGGATGTGGATGTGTGCTGTTTTGTAGGCTTTATGCCTAGTTGATGGGGAAAAAGAAAAAAAAAATCAATAAACATTTATTCATTCATTCAATTTTTGTCTTAATCCCTTTATTAATCAGGGGTCGCCACAGTGGAATGAACCGCCAACTTATCAAGCAAATGTTTTACAAAGCGGATGCCTTTCCAGCCATAACTCAACATTGGGAACCACCCATACACTCATATAAATACACTACAGCCAATATAGTTTATTCAATTTACCTGTAGCGCATGTCTTTGGACTTTGGGGAAACCAGAGCACACAAAGGAAACCCACGTGAACATGTGAAAAAATGCTCTAGAAGCAGATGCGTTTAGAAATTAAAAGCGGAAGCATGCTTAACAGATCAGTGTTTTTGGCTTTCTGAAGCGAACATAAATATTGACAAAATATTAAATCAAACCAAATCCTTTTTTTGCTCTGTTATATTTAATGCTTCTTGATTTTTATAAAATGTGAAAAGTAAAATTTTGTTTTAAATTGTAATATTTCGCAAAGGTCCCCTCTTTTAATGTATTTTTCTTAAATACCTGCTTTAAATGAAGCATTTTAAAGCAGAATTTTTTGAAAAACAATCAAACAAAACACCTAAACACCCAAAATTATTTGAACATTAATGCCCTTATAAATCCATTCATGCAATATCTGAGAGATTAATTATTAGAATAATAGCAAAGATTGAACAACTATGGTTGTCATAAGTAGTTGTAGTGTGTGTATGTGGTATTTCTCACTTTGTCTCTCATTCTTAATTATTCACAGGTGCAGCGGATTATGGCAGATTGTAATTAGCACTTGGAGTGGCAGCGGCCGTATTTAAACACAAGAGAATATGGGTTCCTCAGCTCCCCACTCTCTCTCCATTCCCCGCTCATTATTCTTTGTGGAGATGTTGTTACTTGAACAATGAATGTTGCTGATGTCTGTTGTTGCCGTTTTGTGAGATGTCAATGTGAAGTTGTACATTCTAACCGGAAAAAACAAGTTTTCTTTCTACTTGTCTGGCTTGGAGCATGGTAGGGAGGTTTGGTGGCCTTTGGTTTATTATTTTAATTTTGTCCTGTGTTGTTAGTAGGGAGGTAAATTTTCTGTATTTTATTTTATTTATTTTTTCCAGGGCGATCTTCTCTAATTTAGTTAGTTTGGTTTTTTTGTCATTTATTTTAGGTCAACCCCTCCCGATGTTATTTAGCTCCTTATTTTCTGTAAATGAATAATATTTTCTACTTAATTCTTAGTGGTTTGTGTTTTGGTTTATGTTTGGTGGGGAGAGAGCACAGGGGCACCAGGGATTATGTTATGATCCCGGTTATCTTGTTACGTTTTGGTTAAACTTCTTTTTGATTAAGGATTTAAAATTTAATTCATAACATGGTTGTTGATCAACTGTAATTTGCATTTAACTAAATGAAAAGCAGATGTTCAGAGAACAAATAACCACACAATAAAAAAACTATAACCACAGGACCCAGCATATTTTTGCTAAGTGTTCATAATGGATAAACTGATGCATAACATATGAGGGCTAATCCATACCAAGATTAATGAATGACATCAACTTGTGGTTTCATTCCAGAACCGTCCACAGCCAATATTAAACCACAATAAGGGGACAAACAATCTCTTATGAAGACATCTCCACCAGGCAACAGACAATAGTGCATCTCTGTTTAGGAACTGACCTGCACAATGGGAGCATTGAGCTCATCTTGAACACTCCGACACAGGCTCTCCATCCTCCACGAACCCTCCAGCACAGAGGTCTCTGCCCACTTCCAGAAGTCACCAGCCTCCAAATAACTGTGTGGGAGCTGTCAGCAGACAGAGAGCAATTCATAAACACTGCCAGCCTACAAAAAGCTAAATTCAATCACTTTTCCAACCACATGTTTGCTGCTGTCGTTCAATGGTGGATTATTGCACAAAATGTGCAACAGTTTGAGAAACTGAAGGGTATTTATGTGTAACTGAAGTCATGAGGATAACTAAACTAGATGACCTGGAAAGAAGAGTTCCACAGACACAGATACAGATAAAACAAAGGTGCACTTCTTCTGTAATATTCCCATGCTAAAAAAACTACACAATGTCTTGTATACAGTGGGTACGAAAGGTGTTCAGACCCCCAGTCAATTGCTAAAGTCATTTAAGTTCATTTTTCCTTATTTATGCACACACAGCACGCCATATTGACAGAAAAACACTGACTTGTTGAAATATTTGCAGATTTATTAAAAAAGAAAAACTGGAATATCTCATGGTCTTAAGTATTCAGGCCCTTTGTTGTGATTCTCATGTATTTAACCCAGGTGCTGCCCATTTCTTCTGATCATCCTTAAGATAGTTCTACAGCTTCTACTGAGTCCAGCTGTGTTTGATTATAATGATTGGACTTGATTAGGAAAGCCACACACCAACTCATACCTGTCTATATAAGACCTTACTGCTCACAATGAATGTCAAAGCAAATGAGAATCATGAGGTCAAAGGAACTGCCTGAAGAGCTCAAAGACAGAATTGTGGCAAGAAACAGATCTGGCCAAGGTTACAAAAAATACTGCTGCACCTAAGATTCCTAAGAGCACAGAGGCCTTCATAATCCTTAAATGAAAGAAGTTTGGGACGACCAGAACCCTTCCTAGAGCTGGCCGTCCGGGCAAACCGAGCTATCAGGGTAGAAGAGCCATGGTGAGAGAGTTAAAGAAAAACCCAAAGGTCACTGTGGCTGAGCTCCAGAGATACAGTCGGGAGATGGGAGAACGTTGTAGAAAGCCAACCATCAGTGCAGCCCTCCACCAGACAGGGCTTATGGCAGAGTGGCCCGACACTTGAAGGCCCGCATGGAGTTTGATAAAAAAAATAAATAAAAAAAAAAACTTACACCTAAAGGACTCCAAGATGGTGAGAAATAAGATTCTCTGAAGATTCTTGAACCTCAATTTTAAGTGGTATGTGTGGAGAAAACCAGGCACTGCTTATCACCTGTCCGATACTGCACCAATAAAGCATGGTGGTGGCAGCATCATGCTGTGGAGGTGTTTGTCAGCTGCAGGGACAGGATGACTAGTAGCAATCGAGGGAAAGATAAATGCGGTTAAGTACAGGGATATCCTGGATGAAAACCTTCTCCAGAGTGCTCAGGACCTCAGACTGGGCCGAAGGTTTACCTTCCAACAAGACAATGACCCTTAGCACACAGCTAAAATAACGAAGGAGTGACTTCACAACAACTCTGTGACTGTTCTTGAATGGCCCAGTCAGCACACTGACTTAAACTCAATTGAGCAAACCAAAATATCCAAAAAAAAAATGCTTTCAATAAACATTTACGATCCAGCCTGACAGAACTGGAGAGGATCCTCAAGGAGGAACGCAGAGGATACCCAAATTTAGGTGTGAAAAACTTGCTGCATCTATCTCAAAACAACTTTATATTGGCTGTATTAGATCAAACGGGTGCTTCCACTAAATACTGAGCAAAGGCTCTGGATACACAATGTGATATTCCAGTTTTTTTCTTTTTTACAAAATCTGCAAAAATGTCAACAATTCTGTTTTTCTGTCAATATGGGGTGCTGTGTGTACATTGAAAAAATTGTTTAAAGTATTATAGCAAATGTCTGAGATATAACAAAGAGGGAAAAATTAAAGGAGTCTGAATAATAAGCGTACCCACTGTATATATAACATTTATATAACATTTTATTTTTTTACTTTTAAGTTTTTCTACTAAAACTGACTAAATTTGCTTACCAAACTATTCGTTGAAAACTGCTGATTTTTTTAAATAATGCAGGTGACTGCCTTTATGAATTAATCATTAAGCATTTCTCTGAGATATGCATTTGTCCTGATTTAGTTTTGATGAAAGCCATTTTTTGTGGCAAAAAAAGAACGTGTCTAAAATATAAAGTGCTTGTCAGTAGCGGATGACAAGACACAAAAATTATAGATTCGTTAAAAATGCTAACTCAAATTAACACTAAATTATTAATTAAAACTGATTTTAAATAATGAATTAATATTATTTTTTAAAAATGCAGTAATTACCACTGTCAAACCTACACAAAGTCTAATATTTTGTTTAGTAGCCTTTTCAGAAACCAAATCACGACTCTTAATTTATCCTGAATTGAGGAGCTCTATTTTAAAAGTACTTCGGTTTTCCTAAAATTAGTAATTTAATAATCTCTTGGTTTTCTCTAAACCTTACTGGAAATAATAAAAAAGTAGTACCTGATGGGTGAAGCTGGTGGCCAGTTGCTCCATATCAGTTGCTAGGTCTCTTTGAAGGACGCTGAAGGCCTCTAAAGCGGCCCACATGAGCTGCAGGGCTTTTCCATTGAACTGCGGCAATTCGTTCAGCAGCAGAGTGTTCATGGTCTTATACGTGTTAGCTATGGCTTGCTCCTCAAAAGTCAGGTTACTCTTCTCCTCGATTGGCTCATAGTCCAGTAGCTTATCTTGACGTTTGCGAATCAGGTTACGCGGTCCTGCCATCAGTTCCCGAAGTGAGCTCAGCGGCTTAAAGACCAGAGTCTTCAAACGCTTCTCCTGAAAGGTGGAGATAGATGAATATACAAAGTAGGTTCAGACAGCGAATTAACTGATCAATTGTATACGACAAAGTGTTGCTTACAGAGCCTAATGATTAAACTAGTGTCTTCTTCTTAAACATGTAGCATAAAATATATTTGTGTGTGACTATTCCAGCTATAATTTCCATAGCTGGTAAACAGTTTAACAATCTTCGGAAAATTTGTAACCCGTGTGGTGTTTCTGTAGTGGTACTGGTTCCAGGAGAGTTAGACATTGATGAATGGAGGAATCTAGTGGTGAATGGAACCACAGTAAAGGAATATTGTAACATGACAAATGCTGTGACAAACACTAGTGTTCCTGATTTTAGTCAGCGACAGAATATTTAATTTGACATGCACAAAAATGAGGCAGTGAAAAATAGAGGTGCAGTTTGATTCAGAGTGCTGCAGGAATGAGTCCTAAAGCTCAAAAACAATAAGCACTTCTGTGTCACAAATTCAATGTTTTTTAACATACGTGTTTCTGGACCACACCACTAATCCTATGTTGCATATTTTGGCAACATAGGCAAAAATACATTGTATACTGATGTTTCTTTTATGCCAAAAATTATAGGATATCAAGTAAATATTAAGTAAATCAGAGTTTAGATTTTCTTAACCCTTAGATTCTAGATTTTCTAATAGTCGTTTCTCTGCCAAATATTGCTCTATCCCGACTATACATCAATGGAAAGCTTATTTATCAGATTTCAACTAATGCATAAATCTTAATTTTAGAATAATCTCAGTTATGATTGGTACTGTGGCCACGGGTTGTACACACAAACCTTTTTTTAATAGCTTTACATATGGTTTGCAAATCTTTGGTTGCCCTAAGCTCACTACATCAGTCATAACCCACTTATGATTTAGGGTTATATGTGTCTAGACGGTTGATCACAAGAGGCTATAAGGGATTAAAGAAGCTAACAAGGAGACAAAATGTCATCAAATCAAACAGGAAAACCCACTTACCCAACAGTTTGCTTTCAAAGACTTGCTAAATTATGCTCAACTGTGTTCTTGCAAACTATTTTAACACATTTTCCAACTTTCAGAATTTAAATAAAGACTAAAAAGTTATGATGGAAATGTTGAAGTAATGTGACTGTAGTCTAGCCTAACTTCAGTCTTAGAACCTCAGTATTAAGTTGCAGGAGTATATTGTAGCATAGGCCAAAAATACATTGTATAGGCTAAAAATCATTCAAATATTAAGTAAAGATCATGCTTCATGAAGATATTTTGTAAACATCATACTGTAAATATATCAAAACTCTTTTTTTCATTAATAATATGCATAGCTAACCAATTAATTTAGACACATTAAAGGTGATTTTCTCAGTATTATGTTTTTTTTAAAACTTCAAATTCTAGATTTCCTATTCTAAGAAGCCAAACATTAATTGAAAGCTTAATTTTTCAGAAATAAAAATAGCACACTTATGACAAGTATTGTGGCCCAGGGACACAAACTGTAATAATTATCTAAAAGTCTTACATATGAGGGGTATATCCACTGTCTGAGCGCCACTGTGATTTCTTTGGAGAACAAGGCGGTTTTCTCCCCTTCAAGATCAAGATCTGCTTCCTCTGGTCTGCAGCTGAGGAACCTCTGTACACAGAAACAGCTCAGGATGTTAAATAAATCTTTACAAACACTGCAAGCACACATAGCAAACATCTGAACTTTACAATCTCCAATAACCCCATCCATCAGCCCTGGGATCAACCCTTCTGTAGATTTTTTTCTTTTATTCACCAGCTGGAATAACAGTGAAAAACATTTCAGAAGTTTTCATGGGCGTACTGGGTTCATACTAAGGGAACACCAAAACAAATTAGACAGACTCTTTGTCTAGGTTTAGCTGCAGTCATTATGTGGAAGAAATGTAAATCCAAACCTGTAAATGGTGGAGATAAGTCAGCAGGTTATCATGAAGCTCTGAGACGCCCCTTTCCAGGACAAAGAAGAAGCCAGCTAGGGCATCGAATTCTTCATCCTTTAACTACAATGGGATTGAATTACAAAGCATGAATTAAAGGGATAGCTCATCATTTATAGTTCTATACCATACTGTGTTTTTGGTCTATTTTGAAGAATGTTAGGGTGCTTTTACATCTGTGGTTCTGTTCATTTGGTCCAGACCAAGGGCAACAAAGACACATTGTAGCATTTTTTTTGCTCTTTTTTTTTGGGTTCTTGTCACACCACAGTAATTGCTTCGGTCTGATCCAGTTGAAAAGAACCAAAATGCAGTCATATGACAAAATCCACATCACTCATTGCTTTTTGGTTGGTCAGAATTAACATGCAGGAAAATGCTAATGGAACTCAGAACAAAGTGTTGCTTTTTTACTATGGAGGGACGACTGCGCTGGCTGATTGTATCCTTGGTCATAGTATACTATATAGCTTGTATACATCACTTTAGACAAACTATACATATCGAGAATGAAGCACGGCTGCAAACGTGGCTTTTAATGCATGGCGTGGCTTTTAATGCACGGCAAATGGCAAAGGCGCATTGTAAGTCACTTCAGGAGGAGGCGTGAATTCATTTTGCTGAACTGCGACATTGTCATATTAGGGAAATATTATTAATAATTTATCAGGTAATGTTTTTCCCTCTCTCTCTGTTTAAAATTATTGGTAAAGCGCTGTCAACAAATATTTTTCCTCCACATCCGATAAGGCACAGCACATCGGACTACAGCAACTAGATAAGTCCAAAAGGCTAGTACTTTTTGCGGTTGGATCTGTTCCAGTTTGGATCAGGTTCTCACAAAAAAAAAAAAAAAAAAAACACTCCAGGGTTTGTTTAAAAGCATAGCAAGACCACCTCTTCAAGGAGGTCTCAGTACACTTTTTGGTCCACTTTTGGTGTGCACTTGAGTGTGGTTGCTACATTTATACCTGCCCAAACCAACCACACCAATAGGGAAAACAAACTCTAGTTAAATTCAACCAAATTCAAAAAAGGCAGGTGTGAAAACACCCTTAGAAATCTATAGCCATTGACTCCCATACTACATGTTTATCCTAAAGGCTCGTACACACCGGGACGCTTTTCGTTTGCGTTAATCGTCAGCGTTTTGCAAGACATTTTTCAGTATTCAAACCCAATCGCTTCTCACTGGCATCAAGCTGAAGAATATGCTAAATCACTCATTTGACGTTAGATGGTGCTGAGCAACAAGCTTCTGACACCCACTTATAATACAGTAGAAGAGGAGGAGACGAAGCTCACACACTTGTTGTTAAAGTTACTGGTGACAGTAATATATACTATTTGGATAGTTCATCCAAAATGAAATTATTTATTAATCTTTTCCTAGTTACAAACTAGATTGAGAGTATTTTGGTTGTGTTGGACACAAAAGAAGATAAATTGAAAAATATTGGAAACCTGTAACCACTGACTTCCATATTATGATAAACATATAGTATGGAAGTCAATGGTTATAGGTTTCCAACATTTTTTAATAATTCTTCTTTTATGTCCAACACAACCAAGAAATACTTTCAATCTAATTTGAACTAGTAAAGGATGAGTAAATAATTAAATTTTGGGTGAACTATCCCTTTAACTTTTAAAATAGGCAATGGCGTCTTAGGTTTTAGGAAAACAATGTGGTTCTTTCAACAAGTTAAACATTTAAATGTCTGTGTGTACACAAGGTATTGTTCTTCTATGTATAGCATAATTGTACAGAAGTTACCTTTGGCACTATTCCGGTCTCATGCTTTATATACTGGCTGAACCGGGCTGTCTTCTTAGCAATGCTGTGGCCACTCAACCGATTAAGCTTGTCCTTGATGGTCAGGTTTTCTGTCTTCTTGTACTTGTCAGCTGTGGTAGTCAAGAGAATGACAATAATTACTCATGTTTATGTGATGCTGTTCTGAATAAATTGACGTACTTGTGTTCAGCCAGCTTTGCGTGATAAATTGCGAGCATGTTCTCTCACCCACTTCACGGAAGCGTTTGTATTCATTGATCCTGCAGTTGATCTGGATGGCCGTGTGAGCGGTGTGCTCCAGTTCAGGGTAGGCAGGGTGTTGGGGGTCTGTGTGTTTCTGAATGGTCTGGAAAAGTAGGGGGTAACGGGCGATTCTCTGGACCGGCATTACCAGGAAGAAGCTCAAAGTAGACGCGTTCACATCAGGACTGAAGACAGACAAGATCAGGGGTCAAAAATGAAAGGAATGCTGGGTAAAAGACTAGTGTGTTTTTCTAAGAAGTCATTCTTCTCTCAACAGGGTTGAAGATGTATACATCCTCTGTTGGTTGTTGTTAGACTTACGCAGAGGATTTGATGATTCTGACCATCTCCATCCACAGGGCCTCTTTCTGTTTGTAGCTGTTTTCCAGAGCGGTGATATTGTTGTAGTTGGCAAGATACTCCTTATAAGCCATTTCAATATCTTGAGACAGACTCAAGAAAGAGTCACCTGGGAAATAAAATAAGATACTTTAGAATTTAAATTTGAAAATTGACCATTTAATAGTTTAGGGGTCAGAAACCTTAGAGTTTGTTTATTTATTGCCATATCAGCAACTCATGACTATTTCATGGCAAGATAAATAATCTTATTAATTATTAAACTACAACAATTTAAATTTAATATAACACCACCACCACTACCACAATAAACAACAATATAATTGTAATATAACAACACCACCACTACCACTATTTATCATTCTCTATAACTCCTGAATTGATGTGATGGTTAATATCATGTCGTAATAGTGTGCTGTTATTTATTTCCACCCATTAAATTGGCTTTCCTGCACCTCTACCATATATAGAAGTGATCACAATGTCCCAGCATAAATTTAACTGTATTGAAAACGGATTTCCCATGTTATATTTATGCTCTTTTATTTTTATTTTATTTTTCATATCAGTTTAAAGTTCAGTTCAAGTTTTAACTACTTTAATTCAGCAACTACTTTGATAAAAAAAAAACTCAATTTCACATTCTTATAAAATATGTTTTGTAGAAAAAGAGGCTTGACAGGGATTACACATTGGTGGTAAAATATTCCTCCGTAAATAAAAGTGTATCAACCTGGAGTGGCCAATTCAACATCTGGCATAAACCTGGTCTTGTAGTCAGCATCTGGTATAAACCTGGTATAAAGTCTGGTTTTGCCTAGTCTCAAAACATTAAATTTGACAGTGTCTTTCATACAGTATACAGGGTTCTTATACCCTTTACAAAATTTAATTTCAGCACTTTTCAAGCACTTTCAAGGTGCATTTTTTGCTTTTCCAACACCTAACAACCACGGTAAATTACGTCTATATTTGCTGTATGTACTTTTTCACATTTAAATCCATTGTGCTATTTTAAAAAATAAAACATGACATGACATTTCAACGTAAATTGTTGAATACTTTGGAGCATAGATTTATTATTTAAAAATGGTATAAAAAAGTACAGTTATTAAATGAAGTATCTTTTTATGTTTGGTCTCTTTTTACCTAAAGTTGATATCTCAAAACATAAGCCTACTGTCTGATTTTATTTAGGTGTAGTACTAAACTTACATGACCAGTCATTCATGATATTTCATATTCACTTCTATTCAAAATTCATGTAACAAATTAAACCCTTATAAGTCTAAGAATATTCTCGAATGTTTACGATATTCATGTGTGAACATTCTGCAATGAAAACTGGTCGTAGAGAAACAATAATACGCACTCGCACAAATGCTCCCAAATATATATTTGAGATCACATCAATACAATTTCAGGCACATATGCAACCAAAACAGTAGCAATTTCGAGGCCTACAAATTTAAGCACTTTGTCCAAAATCTAAGCTCTTTTCTAACCTTGAAACACTATATTAAAGTCAAGTCAAGTTCCAGGATTTCCAGCACCCATTCAAACCCGGAGTAAAAACTTAAATTGCTCTCATGCATTTTAGGTCAGTAAAATGTTTTATTTTTTTTAGTAAAATAAAAAAAGTAATAGTAGATAATTTCTAATGTTACAAACAATATCTACTTCTAATAAAGGTTATTCTTTTGAACTGTATTTTCATTAAAGAAACATAACATTCAAATATTAGAACAATTTCTCAAAACTAATTGAAGACTGCAGTAAAAATGATGAAAGCTTCATGTGGAAAAAAAGGATTTCAGCAGTGAAAATTAAACCACACAGAACTGAACTGATCTTAAACTCTGAAAACTAGACTGACCCAGTTTCAATTTACTAAGCTGCTTTGACACAATCTACATTGTAAAAGTGCTAAATAATAATAAGAGATACAAAACAAACAAACATTACAAGTCTTTCACACATAAACAATAATAAAGTATAGAGAAATACAAGTTCAGAAATTCTTCATCGGTGAGCTCAAGGGTGCAAAATATTTTCATTCGTGAGTAAGCAGAAAACGTGAACCAGAAATTCCAGTCTATCCGGATGTACTCACACAATGTTTCCAGATATTTTGGGTCACTGTGCTGCATTTGTGCCTGATCTAGAAGACTCAGGAGTCTACTGGAAACTTCCATAACTTCATCTATGTGCTGGAACATGTTCTCTAAGTTTGGTGGAGGAGGCTGCAAGGGACAGAGTAATACATGGTATTATTAAAGCTTGTTTACCTATTATGGCTTTACAACTCAAATATTAGAGACCCACAAACTGCTCCAAACGCACAGCAGCTAAATTAATGTTTTTTTTTTTTTTTTTGTTTACATTACAGACTGCACTGCAATGTTTTTATAGTATGAATTTGAAGGCAAGGCAAGTTTAATTTATATAGTACATTTCATACACAGTGGTAATTCAAAGTGCTTCACATAAACAGCAATAAAAGAGACAAGTGTATAAGAAAATACAAAAAAAAAAATAATAATAAAAGTGATTAAAACAGATAAAACCTGTTGAAAATGTGTTAAAACAGCTTTTAAAATAATGAAAAAGAAAAGAAAGACAAAAGTGCGATCTGTCAGACGCAGCACAGTGCTCAATCAATAAAGGCACAGTTAAACAGATGTGTTTTCAGTCTTGATTTGAATGTGCCTAATGTTGGAGCACATCTGATCATTTCTGAAAGTTGACTTCCAACTTAGCTTAGTAGTTAACTTAGTAGCTGAAGGCCAATGCACCTCACTTTGACTGAACTTATAGAATTTCTAGTTTATTCGATTCTAATGATCTGAGTGATCTGTTTGATCGGTTTGTATTTAGTGAGCATATCTGTAATGTATTTAGGTCATCTAAATGGAGTGTAAGCAGAGGTCAGAGATGGAGCACTGATGTACCAACAAACATTCTGAATTAGAATGGCCAAGCACCTAAGGAAGAACATGAGAAACACTGCATTCATTTTAATAAAGTGAACAAATATTAAGCTTTTTTTCATTCTATACTTCTGTGATTCTTTCGTGCATTCAGCACTGAACAGCTGCTTTGTTTACAGCCCTTACCAAAGAAAAGTACCATCTATAGACAGAGAGTGAACTTGTATATCTATAGGAAATTTTCACAGTAATTCCGATATTATTTTTTCTTTTGGAGAAAGTCTTTTTCTTTTAGTTTGGTTGAGATAAAAGCAGTTTTTACTTTTTTTTTTCAATTGGCTACAGAAAAAAACACTGTTGTTCAATGACTTGTCTAACATTCAAAATACTTGAATACCTAGGTATTGTAATTAACCTAATCCTAGTTAAGCCTTTAATTTGTATTTTAGGCTGAATACTATCTTGCAAAACAACTAGTAACATATAATTTATTGTCATCATAGCAAAAACTATTTTTTTTTTAAATAATTAATATTATGTTTAAAATTGTCAAATTTAAGCACTTGGGAAATATTTGTAAAATAACTACAATTTCACAGGAAGACAAATCATTTTGCCCTCAAATGCATGTTTTTATGTAGCACAAACAGCTTAAGTCAAATCATTCTTTACTTTATATATAGAATAATGGAATAATTAATTACTTAATAATCGAATATATGGAATTTAAAACAATAAAAATGTAAAAAAAAAAAAAAAAATTCTGAAATCAGTTCAGAAGTGTCTAGTTTGCTTGCTAGTAAAAATGTATAAAAAAAAAATCACAATTAGAATTGGCCATGAAAAAACTAAATCCTTCCACCACTATGAAATCTGTCAGACTTTTACTGCATTTCAACTGAAACTTGTCTACCTGTAGTTTCTGCAGGTTGCTGTTTATGGTGACCGTGCAGATCTGCAGATGTTTCAGGTAGTTTTTCTCTGTGTGCACCATCTCCTCTATTGCCATGAGCTGCCTCTGAGCGGCTCTCTCTCTGGCTGCTGCCTCTTCTGCTGCAACCCGTGCCTTCCTCTCCTCTTTATCCTCTTCTTCCTCTGCAAGCTCTTCTAACGCATTTTCCATCTCTTTAGCTCCTTCCTTCTCCTCATCTAAAGTCAGTGTTATATTTGCCTTCAGGGAATTTGCCATGAGACGATCTGAAATGCATAAAGGTTCATTTGTTTTTAGATTTCCAAATAAAAGAAATTGAAAGGATTGAGTCTTTACAAACACTTCAAACAACATTGTGTCATTAGTGCTTGGAGAAAATTACATATTATTTTTGTTATTTTCTAAATTATCATCTAAAACTTACAACTTGTATAATTCATTGAATGTCTAGCAAATAAAAAACATCTGCAAAAACCCAAGAAAGGCTAAATTATTTGTTTATTGAATTTACCATAATTTTCAGTTTCAATAACTTCAAGAATAACAATAATAATAACGATAATGTTTTATTTTTACACAGTAGAATATTAAATCATACAATTTCATTTAAAATATTATTAATTCTGTAAAGTGCTTTCCTAAATAGTACCATTTAGCTTTAGCTTACATTTTAGGACTTTAAATATTTGATTTCACAAACATATATATATATATATATTAAATAGATTCAGTTCAAAATGAACTGAAAAATAAAAATAAAAACTTTAGATCCATAACCATGTATTTACAGATGCATGCTTCACTTTGTCACTGAACATTTGAAAATGTGAAGCCAAATACTTAAGTCAAAGTAAAAATGAATGACTTTCGTTTACTTTGTAGCTGCAATTAGTGGTCAGCATAAACGCTCCTCAAGAATGCTATTTGTACTGCAAGAACCCACCCTAAGCTTAATCACACATAAAAATAGCTTAAATGAATCATCAATCAAGACTATTACATTACATACAGAAAACAGACTCTGCTGTCACACATATATGGACCACCCATAAAGAGCTGAGTGCTCTGTATTGTAATCTATCAAGAGGGGGTAAAACACCATGTCTAAAGAGCCCTATGCTTCCAAAAGATCCTGCAAAGACAGCTTTTGACCACAGGAACAACTCATTTCATTATAAAGCAATCAATATAGTGATATTTTTCATAGCCAGCATGACAATTTCATGTTTATTTACTTAGCCTATTTAGTAAATTCTATTTACACCATTTTTTTTTATTTATGCCAGCTAGATTTAGTTTTATAAAACCCCCCAAAAAAGATGTTTAGCTTCAACTGTTGTCAATGGTGATTTGTAAAATGATACATTAATGCCACCAGCCATCTGAGTAAAAAACACACAGGTAATATACAGGCAAAACTAAATGAATACCTATAGCTAGGGCCAGACAGAATCTGTGGACATGTTTAGCTATTTCTGTGCAGACCTATTTATGCAAAATGGTTTTGGAAGAATCACTACTAAAAACTAAATTAATTAAATAAAATGAATACCTTTAATAACTTTTATTTATTGTTTATATGCAAATCTAATTAGATCCACTTATTTGGTAAACAAAGCAAGTCTCTCATACATCTACCAAGAGACAGAAAATATTACTTTGCAAACTATTTTAAATAAATCATATGAACATTTTCAAATTTGTTAATAATATTACTGACATTAATTTAAAAACTAAATAAATATAATTTACACAAGTAAATAATTAAGCTCGATGGGATAAAAATCTGTGGAAATCTGAGGATTTCTGCACGCACAAATTCTGTGTGGGCCTATTATAGCTCTTGATGACATGTTGAGGTTTTACAAACCGAAATGACTGGTCTATGCAAGAAACTGAACATTATTTCTTAAATTATTACATTTAACAGCCTTTGCAAATAGTTCTGAGCATATTTACAACAATCATCTTATAAAATAAGTACATATCATTATGATGATCAGTACACCACAAATATCCACCTTCTCCACTGTAAACAACGAGCATTAGCTCACAGTGTTGCGCATAGGGTAACATCATTCATCCCTATGCAACATATCATATCAGACGGTGATACATTTGCTTTTATAAAGTTACGTTTCTCAACATATCGTCAGGAGCCACTGGTATTAAATTTGTGTTTTTGAACTCTCAAATTGCCAGTTGCCACTGACTAACATTTTATCATTAATGACTCTTTAATGCTCCATTGAAGAAAAAAAGTAATCTTGGATGGTGAAGATTTGTATTTTTGGTTGAACTATCCCTTTAGAATCATACAGACCAACAGACCGAAACTAACTTAAGAAAAAACCTGGGTCAAAGTCTGACAAGGCAAACTTTATGATATTTGTGCAGTCATTTAAAAGATAAAGAAACATTCATATATCATCAACCCTACTTCTACATTTCCAGCTACAACCACATTCATCTTTAAACACATAAAAATACACTGCAAGTGCAAACCGCATCCGTAGGCATTAACAACAAGCTTGTAGCAAGTGTTCAAGGCCAGCACGCTCAAAGCGAAAACCACAAAGTCAGCATGTAGCACAGAGAGCATACGCTCCCTCTCTGAGAGCTCCAACACTAGTGCTGCACTGCAGTAGAACAAACCCCTACTTAAGGAGTGAAGAAATGACAGGTTTACCACAAGAACAATCCCAAGAAAACAACCAAATGCATCATTACCTTTACAGAACGGGAAGGGCTAACCCTGGTGTTCTTGCGCTGAAAAAAAAGGAAGAGAGATGGCTGTGGAAAGCCTGACACACACTCTCAGACTGGTGTAAGTTTGTCCACTGAGTCACACTGCAGGGCCTCATGTGGGACGGGTGTGTGAGGAAAGGGGGGATGGGTGGGTCAGCGGGGAGGACTGAGCCGGGGGAGGTGGGATTTTAGCAGTGGGGATCCGGATAGGACCACTGCCGATACACACACTTTGATGAATGCACAGATTGCCTGCAGTAGCCATTGGTAAGGAAGTGACGACTGCACAGGATGAAGCGGATTGGATGGCAGGAGTTGAAGAGCTGGTACACAACACACTTACAAACACACTAGGCAACTGCAGTAAACAAAAGCAACAAAAGCCCCATGTGGGCCAGGAAACAACTAGCCAACTTGATGGACAGAGCTGTTAAGCAGCTAAAGCAATTAACGCAAGTGTTTCGAACACATCCTGATTTAAGTGAATGAATTTGAGCTTTTAACCACATGTTAGGATACAATTTTTCTCTAAAAGTTTTTCAAAGTGGTTAATCAGATCAGTTAACTGGTGCATAGCATTAATATAAAATATAAAAGAGGAGAAAATATAACATAAATAGCTTTTCTTCCAAGTACTCTTATTATAAGAACATGAGAAAGCAAAAGAGAAAAACAAAAAAACAAGAGCAAATCAGTGAGTGTTTCAAGTAGGGTTGTAACAATATACTGGTATGACGGTCTACCACGATTTGAACGTGCACGATTATCATACCATGAACAATTGCATATCAACGGTTTTAACCCTTAAAGACCGAGACAGCCGTCCACGGCTAAAAATAAGTATTGCTCTTAAATGTTTAATAACTTTTGATCCGCTGATCCGATTCATACAATTCAAAGATTGGCATAAAGAAGAGAATCTCAGCTTTCCAGTGCTGTATTACATAACATTCGCTTTCAGAGGCTCCCGAATCAGTGCGGTTACGTCATCAAAATTTGACAACGCTGATTTGACAAAGAAACGCTCGTCACTGTGTCTCTGGACAAACCAGACATGATACATTGATGCATTGTCCCTCCTCCATGCCCAGATTGGTTTAAACTCGCTATATCACAACCAATAAGCATAGGTTTCGCTTTTGTTTGTGGACCAACAATGAGCTTTTTGAACAACACGGAATGAGAGATAGGCATACATTTATGCGCGGCTAAATAAAACGCAAAAAAACATGTTTTGCATGAAATAATTCTCATACTAAGTACTTTTGCATGCACAGCAGCACAGAAACATGACAAAACAGTGACACTGCAAAGACGAACTGCTGCTCTTGCGGTTTTCAAAAGACGCAAATGAAGGTGCAGCTGTTTGTCTGCATTGCAGACAACCATATCCAAATCCATATCCACAGACAACCATATCCATGCTGGCACATAAAACCTAAGGATGTTCCATATTGAATCTAGTTTCGTTATGTAACTATTTATAGTATAGTAAATATTTAAATCTATTTTTTACTGAGGATTTGCACCATGTTTATTTGGACTTTATTTGGACTTTGACACATTATTTATTATTTTCTTATTTTTTTATTTGTTCATTGTAAGTGGTGTTGTTTATAGTAACTGAAAATATATTATTTGGAAAAAGTCAAATTTGCTTCACTGTTCTATTATTTTGTAACATTTGTAACCGTGGTATTGTTTTAGACGATTATCATACCGTAAAAAATTCATAGCGTTACAACCCTAGTTTCAAGCTATCCCCCCTTTATTTGTGATTGACATCAATACTAAACTAATGTTATATGTTTGATTTCAGGCCCAACTTCATGCTTACAATCACTTAAAATATAAATATGTTCTAACCACCAGGTTGGTTTAAAGGTCCTATGAAGTGCTTTGAAATTAGCATTTTTTATTGAATGTTTGGCGTAATATCAACTGAAAAAGGTAGCGAGGGTAGAGAGGGACATAGAGTAGCTCATCCCCTTTTTGTAAAAATAGCCAATAGTGTTTTGCTTTTATCACAGATCTTCCTGTGAGAGTGGTTGATATCAAGCGCATCAAATGAAAAGCAAATTAAAGGAGCTTAAAGGGGGCAGGACATGTCTAGTAGACACTACACTGTAGCGTGCAAGAATTATTGGAAAAAATGTAATAAACTTTTAAAACTGACTGTTAAAAAAACAACAACCAGAGTAATTAAATAAATGAATTTAAAAAATCACTTTCTGTAAAATGAAACCAAAGTTTGCATTAACACACAAGCATGTGGATATTGAGAGCCAAATTCACACAGATCATAAGCGGTTAAAAGACAAAAGTGTTTTGCCGAACTAAGTCATTTATTATTAAAAAGTGCTCCATTTAATAACAAAGCTCTCAATACAAATTAAAAAATGAAATTTGTTTAAGATCAAATAAAACAGCTGTCTTTGTTTTGTATTAAATGTTATTAACTTTTTGTTATGCATAACAGATTTCATAAGAAACCATAAATTTAGCTCTGACTTTTTTTAGGTAGTTATATTTGTGGTTATTATAATAAATCAGTGGTACTTGGGTAGCTAAGGTGTTAACATTTATTCATTCATTTTTTTTCGGTTTAGTCCCTTTATTAATTAAGGGTCACCACACCGAAATGAACCAACAAATTATCCAGCATGTTTTACACACCTCATGCCCTTCCGGCCGCAACCCAACACTAGAAAACACCCAAACACTCTTGCATTTACACACATACACTATGGCCAATTTAGCTTATTCAATTCACCTATACTGCATGTCTTTGGACTGTGGGGGGAAACCAGAGCATCCGTAGAAAACTCACGCAAAACACGGGGAGAACATGCAAACTAGACACAGAAATGCTAACTGACCCAGCCAGGGCTCAAACCAGCGACCTTCTTGCTGTGAGGCGATCGTGTTACCCACTGAGCCACCGTGATACCACTAGGGTATTAACATTATCAGGGAATTCATCATGTGTTGCTTTTTGGTTATTCGATTTAAGCAATTGTGCTAACATCTTCAGGATATTGACATTTAAATTTAGCTTACTCCTTATTGCCTCTGACAGTGAAACAATGTCAGAGGCAGTTTAATTATGCAACCTTCAGAATTGGGTGGTGTGTCTACAGGACATTTGTACTGTTCTCATAATGAAATTTGTGTTACAAGCACGTGGACCTTTTTATACACAACTGAAGTATGTTTTGAGCTTAAGGTCAAGGGTTTGACTCCTTGAGAGCACACACACACACACTTTAAACTTTGTAATTTACATGTACTGTATCTCACTAAGGACAAATATGTTCAGAAAATAAAATACAAAAATCTTCTGTAAAGTGACGTACTAAATGTTAGTGTGATGGATTTTTATGTGCAAATAATTTAAATGTATGGGTGGATATTTAAGTCTACGCATAATTTGTTGATTGAATTTTGAGATAGAAATATACATCAATAAAGAGAACTATGTAGGTTTTTATGTAAGGATATTAATATATATATATAAAATAATAGAAATTAATAATAATAAAAGATAAGCAGACATAAACTTTCCACAAGACGTTTAACATTCAGTTCGAAAACTAGAATGTTCTTTAATGCAAATTTTCCACTTCACTGTTAGAAATGTCAAGTCTCACATCCTGTAAGACTGCATTCATATGCTGAATGTGGAAGTTCAGTGTGTGTCTCTGTGTTTTCACACAGTTTATATTAAGTAACAAAACACTACGAACAAAACTACATATCTGGATGGCTTCAACTTTAGTGATTTCACAAAACAAACAAGAAAAAGTTAAAAACTAAATTAGTTGTGGATTTCAATAATGAGTTTTGAGACTAAAACACTTTAAAGTAATTCAAAGTGATACCATATCAATAAACATATCATACATTAGCCCAAATAGCAAGACACTCCAAGCAAAAACAGTCATTTTGATATTTTTTTACCCTGAGCTAAGCCATATCTCCATATTAGAAGCACTCACTTTCACAAAACTTTAGCTTTTAATGTATATTGTGAAAAATATGTAGAGAGGTACAGAAATAATGTGCATAAAATTCATTTATTCTGGCAAGTTATGTATGAACATGTAACTTTTTTTAAATGTTAGTTTTTACCACAAGTTATTTCAAGCCTCAAAGAGCCATTTCCTTCAGAGGACCACAATTTTAGTATTAAGGTAAAATTGGTTTTATATTCGCACATTTGTTTGTAACAGCTTGTGACATGCTGCCTATACTGTTTAGCATGGTGCTTCGAATATTCGGTCTGAAATCACGTGTAAGTATTTAAACTTCAAAACAGCATTAGCAATCTTTATTTAATAATGAACCATGTTGTAGTTTGATAGCTACTGGCTGCAAATATGATTTCCCCATTTAGAATTTGCAAATAATACTTTTCTGAAATTATATTATTAAGGAGAAAGTCAGAAAATGGGAATATAAAACCAACTTTACCTCAGTAATTTTAGGCTGAATGCTAGAAATCATCTGTTCCTTTTGAATGTAGAGAAACTTCTAAGTTAGAAAAAAAGAAAACATTTCCTTTTAAATGTGTAACTTCTACAAAAAATTAAATAATGAAATTCGATTTGTTTTGTAGAAGTCACTGTTCATTAAAAAGTAATTGATGACACTTTTTTGTAGAAGTTGCTGTACATTCAAAAGGATGGTGATATTCATTTTTGTCATCTTTCAGACAAATTCAGTCATTCAGCTTTGTTTATTTACCCCATCAACAATAAAGACACGCGGGACGGTTACTAACAACATGATGATGAGTAAAAAAATATAAAAACATGACAGCTGACAGTACTTTCATTTTGACTGAGCTGTCCCTTTAACGTTATGGTTGACGCTCAGCGAACGCAAAGCAACATCCGTCAACTATACAGTACGTTTCATCTCACCTGCGTTCTTACCTGTGGGTGTTTATAGCGGAGATTCCTCGGACATCGCACGGTAAAACGTCTTAAGTACGGGCATTTTAACGCTCTGTTAAGCTGGTCACCAGAGCTAGAAAAGCGAGACTAACTTGGCGTCGAGTTTAATGGCTTCAGTAGCACCTGTCCTTATGGTCCTCGCGGCCAGAAACAGGCTCAATTCCAGGCCCCGCGTCACGCATTCCGATCATGCCGCTCGAGATCAGCTTAGTCATGAAATGCGTGATATGATTGTTTTTGTCACTCGCCTATTATTACAGATGTATGCAGCAGGGTGGCATTTGAAGGTCGTTGCTATGATTTTTAAAGACGAATTTGACAGCAGTATCGATTAATCACACGAGGGATTGAAAAAATAAGAGGACAAACCGTTGTCAAGAAATATACGCGTGCTGTACTTTAGGTTTGCTCGAGCGTTGATCTGTATTACAGAGACATCGCGTGGTCGCCTGAGGTACTGCTTATCAAAGTTTCCTTTTTTGTGTGTGTGCAATTTGTAGAATGAACATCCAAGAACAATAACAGAAAAATAACAATAGAAAAAAAAGCCAAACTCATTTTCAAATAAAAAATAATTTAACTCTCATTTAACTCTCAACCACGCCAGAGGACATTTTTTGAGGCAAAATTGTTTTATTATAAAATGTAAAAATTTCCTTCATCTAAGCGGTCTTGGCTACGTTTTTAAAGATTGCCACAAAGTCAGGAAACACACAAAAGAGGGCTTGATTCAACAAAGTCAAGTCCTCTTTAAGTTTAAATCCACAATTTTTCCCATATTAAATAAATGGGAAATATAAAAATTAAGTCTCTGCTGGAGCGCATAAGTTTAAAGCCAAATAAAACAGCTGCCATTCTTGTGCAATTGTTTTAAATGTCCTTAAGTTTTCGATTCGTATAACATATATCAAAAGAAACAATAAATTACTCTTCTTTTAAGTAGTTATATGTGTGGTTATCATACTTAATCAGTCAGTTATGGGTTTCTAGGGTGTTGACATTCATTCATTCATTTCTTTCAGCTTAGTAAATCTTTCAGAGGTTTCCACAGCTAAATAAACCGCCACCTATTGTGGCATATGTTTTATGCAGCAGATGCCCTTCCAGTCGCAACCCAAGACTGGAAAACATCCATACACACTCATTCACACACACATACACTACGGCCAATTTAGTTTATTTAGATCCCCTATACCGCATGTTGTGGGAAACCGGAGCACCTGGAGGAAACCGACGTCAACACGTAGAGAACATGGACCTTAAACCAGCGACATTCTTGCTGTGAGGTGACAGTGCTAACCACTGAGCCACTGTGTTGCTCGTTGTTGGAATTATTAGGGAATTAATTATTATTTATATTTTTAAAAAGATTAAAAAAAAAATACCTAAAGTGACAGTGATACATTTGTTTAAAAAAAGTTTTGATCACACCGGTGGCTTCTGTGCTCAAATCTGTCCACTTGGCATGAATAAAGTATAATGCGCTTAAGGGTTAATACATTAAAGTGTATAGTTTTTTCCAATTTGATATTTCTTGTTATTGCCAATCAAATCTAGTTTGTTTTGTGCACAAATATAGGATTTTTTTACACTGTGTTAAATCCACATATTCCTTGCCACTCAAATATTTTTTCACATTCTATTGAATTAAAGTTTTACATACAAGGACCTAACAAATTTTAAATCTAACATTTCTATACACATATGTAACAGTACATAGGCTACTGTTACTACAGTACTTGTAGATTTTTTATTAGGCCTGCATTAGGCCTACATTTAATCTGGTGGCCATATGGCAGTCCCCAAAGCTTTATAGAAGTGTACTTAGAAAGAGTAGAATGGAGAATTAACAACCATTAATGTAGTTCAGAGGTGCCCAAACTTTTTTATGTGAAGGGCCAAAATCCAAACAATATAGCCATACAGCCATAGTCATGGGTAATTTCTTAATTAATTAAATAATATTCAAAAATATATCTAAAAAACATTGTTTTATATTAACTAATACAGAAAATATATTTACATTTTATAATGAGCTTATTACAGCTTATCTGAGTAGTTGGTTATAAGGGTAGAAAAATGAATAATCATGCAAGTCATGCATAATCATGCAAACACAAGTAAACATTGGTTATGGTAAGTACATTGAGCACCAGTTGGCCTAGAATATTTTAATAATTTTAACACTGCCTAAGTATGTGAAAATTTAAAAAGTGATTACCATATAGTTTGAACATACATTTGAAGAGAATTTTTGTAAATGTTTTGACTTGTGTAGCTTGTGCGAACATGTATTACACCCTATACCCCTTTTGCCTGTCTTCCCAACTGTCATTTAATTTTGCACATCTAATAATGTAAACACAGTAACAACAACAGAATAAACAATAAATTAGGGGGTCATGGTGGCGCAGTGGGTTGCACGATCGCCTCACAGCAAAAAGATCGCTGGTTCGTGTCTAGGCTGGGACAGTTGACATTTCTGTGTGGAGTTTGCATGTTCTCCCCATGTCCATTTGGATTTCCTCCAGGGGCTCCGGTTTTCCCCACAGTCCAAAGACATGTGGTACAGGTGAAATGGGTAAGCTTCATTGTCCATAATGTATGAGTGTGAATGAGTGTGTGTGGATGTTTCCAGTGATGACTGCATAAAACATGTGCTGGATAAGTTGGCTGTTCATTCCGCTGTGTCGACCCCAGATTAAAGAAAAAGAAAATGAATGAATGAATGAATGAATTAATTAATAAAATAAATCAACCACTACGACTGAATACTTTTTCATGCAGTTGGCACATTTATTTATTTTGTCTAGATAAATTACATTTAATTAAAATGATGAGAATCAAATACTAAGCAAGACACATTTTAGTTAAATTCTTAACTGATTAGACTGAAGCTATTCTTACAGACTGCAATACTACTGTGGATATTTCCATCTTACAGTCATTTATTTCTGTAGTGCACATTTCTTTTTCTATTTGCCTGGCTCATCATTTACAGTTGACCTACTGACAAATTTCAAAAGTGAAGCACAAAAAACATCCATGACAAACAAAAATGCTGCCTGTACATGCTACAATACAATATCAGGGCTACCTTTCTTCTAATAGCATCACAAATCATCTTAAACTTTTTCTTAGAATTTTTTTTCCATCGATTTGACTGGATGCCTATGACATTCATTGCATATTTTGCACAAGCAATTGAGAAAGAACAAAATGAGGTAAATCGTCTCTATGCACATATTTTATTCTCAGACATTTAGTGTATTTTATACATAACTCTTCCATGAATGCATGCTTGATTCAGACTCCAATTTCCCCTGCTGTTGTTTCCTGGATATTGATGTTTGTGAGGTAAATTGCAGCTCCTTCCCAGAAAAAGCGTTCAATTTGACACAAGAGAATACACATGGTATAGGTCAGTTTTACATTGCTATGGCAACAGATAACAGCCCAATCCTATAAAACAAAAACCACAGCACACAGAAACCTGTCATTCTGTCCTCTAATCAAAATCAGTCTGCACTGAACTGAAGTGTGTTAAAAATTAAGGCTCTATGGGCAAAAACTTGTCAATGCTGCCATTTTTCACTTTCATAAATTTTATTATTGTTTTTTTAATCTAATGAATACAAAACATCTGAAATACACTTTTTAAATATTTATTTCGGCAATTGTGTGTGAGTGTAGATTTTAGTTACAATGCATATTTCTTAAGGTTTTTTTTCTCAAATTATTTTTTTTTCTCATGCACTGAGCCATAAATATTCAATTCAGCAATGCTTTCATACACCATACTTCACAGTTGTATTCATATCTGAATGTTTTTTTTAGGCTTCCCACAAAATCTCCTGTGCAAAAACCTAATATGTCAAAAAAAAGTACACATTAATTTTAGCCAATATTCTGTTTTAGAACTGTTCAAGCAAAAATGAAAAAATATTATCCATTTACTCACCTTCAAGTGGTTCTAGCTATAAGTTATCCTTTTTATGTTGAACACAAAATAAATTATTATTTTATTTATTATTATAAAAATTATTTATTATTAATTATTTAAGTTTGAAATCTGTAATCATTGACTTCCATAGGCAAAACAAATACTATGGAAGTCAATGGTTACAGGTTTTCCATTCAGGAAACAATGATGATAACTATAAGTTGCTGTTTTTTTTTTTATCCTATTCACCTGCAGTTTCTTTTTTTAACACAATATTCATGACTTTAATCCTGAAAGAACAATAATCATATCATACATTAAGAGAATAATATGTTCCAGGCCCAAATAACAATGAGAAATCGCTGTTTTTGTTCAGTAATGATATCACCAATCTCCAGCTGCATATTATATTTATTTGGACAGCTTTTGGACAAAGTTAAGCTGAAATCCCTTAAGAGTGGACATTTGCTGTAATTTAGAATCATTCATTCAAACCGAGCATGGCTGAATCACTCAATGGGAGAGCAAAAAAGGCTAATTTAGTCTCCTGATCCCCATCATTTGTAGTGTGATAGCCAACAGCATGAGTCACCTTTGTCATTTATGTTAAGTGCTGACTATTATGTCCTTTGAGGGCTGGGAAATTAGTTTCTCATCAGGGGGTCATTTAAGGTGAGAAGTCCTACTCTGACAGCCAATGAATGACAATAAACATTCTGCGTTTTTAACTTTCTGAATTTACCAGGAGGGGGCAGTAGGCGCAAGTAAAAGCCTTGGGAACTACCGCAAACCTTTGTGCTGCTTTAAAGTGATAGTTTATTAAAAATAAGACGTAATTATTATGTACTTGTTGTTTCAAGAACTTTCTGGAGATTATATTCATTATGTTAATCACAAATTAACTGTGATTTTTGCTAAACTAACCAGCTTAACCGTTATGTAAGTAAAGTTGTGTTACTACAAACTCCACACAGAAATGCTAATTGACCCAGCCAAGGCTCGAACCAGTGACTTTCTTGCTTTAAGGTGACAGTGCAACCAACTGCGCCAACGCGGTGCCTGTGGTTATACAAATGGCAACAATTTGTTCCCCCAATTTAAGGAATACAAGGTAAACATAAACATGTAGGTATTGTTTTTCATGAGGATTCTCGATAGCTGTAATGTATTTTACACAGTATAAACTGCTTATTTTATGTCCCTATATTCTACTCCTAAGCCCAACCCTCACAGGAAACCTGTTGCAAATTTTAAATGTCAAAAGACCCTGCATGTTAAGTATGATTTTCAAGCGTTTTGAGTTATGAAAAGAACACCAAGACATGTCCTCATAAACAAGATCATACTCATGTCTTTACACAAATTTTTGTCCTTGTAAACCACCAAAACCAGCACAGACCACACGTACACAAATCTGGTTATCACTTTAATAATCAATGTAATAAAACTATACATATAGTTTTTAGTTCTGTCTGGTTCTCAGATCTG